TTCAAGACACGTTTTGCCTTGCACAACTAATCTATAGAACAAGTTATCGTCCGCGGTAGTTTCGGTCATACGGAAAAAGTGCTTAAAATCAGACATTTTCTTTTATGTTAATATGGGTGATTAGGATATGCAATTATCTTTTTTAAACTAAATATTACGTGATATCAACATAACAAACTAAAAGGCTCGATTAATGTAACACGCTTAAAATAACAGAGTGAGACTTGGTTCACTCTGAAGTGGTCTAACACAATTCGAATGACACTATCAAAGCCCTGCAAATGCTCGAGTCTCGGCCTACGAGTTATTTATTGAAAATAAATGTGCGTGTGTACATAATATGTATTTATATATACATTAAGTGCATAGCTATGTGCAGCCGATAGCTTTATATATTCGGTGGTGTCTATACGCGCGCGCGGAATACAGGTACGACTTTGATTTGTTCAAATATTCACGCGAGAGAGGCTTCGTTACTTACATAAGGAGTCTACGACTAACGAGTGTCGCATCACAATTATCAATGCGTTGGATTCGTTGGATTCACGCAAATGAATCTCTACCACGCTGAAGTCATCCGTCGTATATATAATATTTTTAGCTATGCAACAATAAAATTTATTATATAAAACTCATCAAATGATTTTATCAACTCATGTTGATATAATCATCTTTGAAGTTCGTACCTAATAGTACCAAATATAATAACACCCAAGACCGTGATGATATCAATTATTTGAATTTGTACTTCGGGAACAACAAATGGATGTATTCGTAAAAGCAATATAACTGCTCTACTCCTAACGGTGTATAGCCTGTAATTTTCTTTAATGAATTTTCTTTTAAAAAAAAAAACGAATAGAGGAAATTTAGCAGAAAACATCCGTTAGATGTTTTAACTATACTCGTATCGTATTGGTATAGATAAAGAAATGATACAAAAAAGAGGCGACAGATGATTTAAAATTATCTACCAACTATCTGTTGGAGGCGCGCGCCGTTGCTCTTGTACTCGTTGAGACGCCGTCTTCGGTACGTGACGAATTGAATCGGTGATTAGCAGCACCGCGCACTTGTAGTTCCTCTAACTGTGATAACCACGTCGAATAATCACTGCGGATGGTTTGCTCATCTATGAATTATACAAGTAATTATTTTATCCTAGCAAAAGTAAATCACACTTGGCAGTAGACTTTCGACTTAGTTCAGAAAATGTGTTACCTGGTAAAAACTTCAGATAGTTCAAAAACACCTCACCCATGTTAAGTTCCGTTAGAATAACACGAAACTCAAATATTTTATCAACCGACTTCAAAAACACAGAAGAAGAGGTGTTTTAGCTTGTTTCTCTAACTATACAGGTATTTATTTACAGGTATTATTTGGCAGTCAATATCTCATGTTGCTGAGCTAATGGAAGGGTCCTTGACCTTTAAGAGTTAGAGGATAACTCTTTCAATAATATATTCATGTATTGACCTTGTTTTATTCTTTCAACATATTTGTTAGGTGTTTGTGTTGTTTTTAGTTAACTCAAAACTTTTTCATTTGTAAAGCGATTTGGAAAATTCTTTTTTAATTTAGAAGGGTATATTGCCTCTTACGTTTACATAAATGTGAAAAAAAAATACCACTCCTACCTATTGGTGAAAAATTAAGTAATGTGGAAAACAATTTATTTTCGGGTTTAAATTTAAAATCTTACTACCTTATCTAAATAAAATATCGAACTTATTTAAACTAAATTGAATATAATATAACATACTACAGTTTGGTAATATACATTACAGTATGTAGTGTTTAAATATTGTATCTACTCATCACAAACGTCTCTTACACTAAAAATGGTAAAATAAATCCCTTTCTAAAAATGAACCGACTCCAAATAATACTAACAAAAAGCACAAAAAAAATAAAAATAATTACAAATCTAATTGAGAAAACTAAATAAGTAACCCTCAATATAACAGGTAACATTGTAATATCAATGGATACCTTATAGTCTGTTTGTAGTCGGCGCCAAGCCTAATGCACAATAAGTTATGCTGAGGGTCTATGTCAGCTCAATAAAGAATTAAGAATTCAATATAAAACATCGCAGATTTTGTTAATTAATAAAGACCAACCAGATCAATTACCTACGAAAATTTATCAACTACGTAATAAAGGATTCAAACCCACCTATTTTGGCTCGTGCAGCATGTTTTACGCAGCATGAAGACCCTCGCAGCCGCCGCTCCACCTTGTACTTGTTATTTCAGTTTTTCAATAAGATTTGTAATTAATTTTTAAATTTTTAGTGCTCTTTTTGAGTATTGTTTAAAGCTGGTTGGACTTTTTATTAAAAAAGATTTATTGTTTTTGCTTTCATCGTCATTTGAGCCGTGAGAGGTCTACTGCTGGACGTGATCATTTCGAGTGGTTAACTTCTACCTTATGACCTTACCCTACATAGGTATATCACACGCTTTTACGAGGAAGTTGAAGACATCGGAGCAGTGTTATGCACAAGGTTTAATCTGTAAAGTTTCATTACAAAGCCTGTGCATTGTACACAAAGCGTATGATGTCCGCAGAGAATAATGCACGAATCGCGTGAGCAGCAACACTCGCCGTTCTCTAGCGCTAATCACCGCTAACCAAATACAAAAAATTGTAATTTTTTGTACTAAACTTTTACTTTAAATACAGTGATACGTTAGAATTGGTTTATTTTCCAACACGCCATTACAGCTCTGCCTGTTGCTAATTACTTTCATGAGAATGTAATTCACGATCGATATTTTCGATGCTTAGTTATAGTGTCAGTTACTAATTCTTCGTTCGACGTGTAGCACACACACACACACTGTGAGTAATCCGCTATAATACGAGTATATTGTTAAAACCTTTAACAGAGGTATAGTTAACACCTTATGGTATTTGCTCTTCTCTAAAGCTTAGCTATGAAATGTGTCATAAGTAAAAAAATAGAATTTATGATATGTTAAACCGTTGGCTCGCCTTCAGTATTTCTAAGAATATTTTTTTGACATTATCAGTCGCATCGATTAAACCGTTCAATATCTTATATGAGTATGTTAGGCTGTAAATTAAAATACAATCCATGAATTAATTGACTGACAATTGTGGTGGTGATGAAGTTACTCTAGTCGTATATAAAGTAGGCGATTCAAACCTCGCCTACTAAATATGTATTTCATCAGTGACATTGCATTCCATGTCAATTTTCAGTAAAATATTTTGAACCGGAATTTATGAAGATTATTGTAAACTAGCTGTGCTCGCCTCTTCGTACACCTGAAATTGTCTGTGGGTATGTTTAGGGACTAACTATATTCGTATCGTAACAAATTAAAGGAAAACATTCTGAATATGAATACTACCACAAATACAAAAAAAATAGTCATTAGATATTTTTTATATTTAATACTCAAGTACTAATAGATATATAAAAAACTTTGAAACTTGTAAGGTTTTTAATTATTACTTAGCTTCCCTAAAACAGGTAGGTACTATCGGTCAAGGGCGCGCAGACCCAGTAGCTGGTCGTATATCACTCGCTAGCTACTTTCAACTTCCTATACGGCCTGGAATCTGGTTTAGAAAAAAAAACTGCAGTTATTTCTAAACGCGTCCCTAACGAGCGATATACGATGAGTCTGCGGCGAGAACCAAAGCATTGAAAAATCGGTTTTCTATTTTGTCATTGTTTTCTGAAGAAACGTCCTTGCTTCTTTTCCAAATTTATTAATCAATCTAAACGTGTTTAACATTATCATACCGAACTACAACACACTCTCTATTTCGTTGAATTCTTTTTTAATAAAGGAAAGAAATACCATATCTACTTAAGGCCAGCTAGCTCAATACAAACCAACCAAATCATTAACATTAAACAAACAATACAAATCATTAACATTGGTTGTTGTAAGAACGCCCTGAACAACATGGCGATTAACTTTACCTTGCACTTTGCGGGTGCCACAAACTAATTCGTAATTATTTCCGTCTATAAAACCATTATTATTTGTAAAATTTTATTTGTTTCATTTAGAAGAGAAAGATAAACAGTTTGTTTGTAAGCTTTAACCTTTAAAAAACCTTGCATTCAATTTCTGGGTATTATACATAGTATGTAGCTTTATGATGGAATTAGATCCCGACTGTTTTTTGGTCAATGAGAGGGAAACTACGTAGCTGTCTAACTGTAGAGCGCGTAGCGTAGGTTCATATCAGTTACATAGGATTGCAATCACTTGAGCAATATACGAGTATATATCGAGACAGTTTTATAAATTGTCAGTAATGCTCTAAATAAATTGTGTTTAAAATTTGAACACTGTGTATTCACTGTGGCTATAGAAGGCAATGTCGTGTAATCGGTGAGGGTGTGAGTTTAAGTTGTTAAGGAGCTTTGATTTGCAATATTTGGTTAAGTAAAGGTACAAAAATGTGCTTCTGTGTGTGTGTGTCGCTAAAATTATGGACTCCTAGTTTATCCAAAATACAGTTACGGGGTTCAAAAAAGCCTGATGGTTTTGAGAAATGATTTTACAGCAAGCGCATTTTTTTGTAGCAGCTCAAGATAGGGGTGAACTACCGAGCCTCCGGATAGAATATTAAACTAGCTGTAGAGGTGTTTCTCTGCATTTAGTGATAAAATGCTTGTTGTTATGAGTACTTGATATCGAGACAACGTGTAAGGTTGAATGCTTTTATTGTACTAAATTATTACATATAACTACACTAATTATATTGATATGTATGTCAGCTTATGATACCGATTGCGTAGCGCATTTAGCAATGTGCAACTTGCTTGTACACTAGCTATAAGTTGAAGTGTCGGGGTTATGAAACGTTTACCAACCAAACTTCATTCTATTAATTGTTGGTATTTATATCTCTTAATTTATTTAAATAAAATAAAAACGATGAAAGCTTTATATTTGTTGTGATAAAATAAAGTTTAAAGTTTCCGTCGTTACGATCATCGTCCTTCATGGAACCGTCACCTCGTGGCAGCTAACGATTCTTACGGCGCGCAATACTGTGTCAATAAACCAATTTGAGCCGCGACTCGACTCGCAGAATACGAGAAAAAATCGCATGAGCGCTCGCCAAGCAACATAATTAAGGCTCATAACAAACAGTCCCCGGGAGCACGCGGCGCCTGATGAAGAGCGCGATCGATCCCCCCGCAGCCCCGCGCACGCGCCCCGCGCTGCGTTGCCGTCACGCGCCCGAAGAGACGTGCCGCCATCTGAGCCCGCTGTGAACGCTGTCGGCAGCTCGCCAGCCGCGCCGAGGGATTGCATCTCAGCACATTCCGACGAGCTTACCAAACGATCACGTCCTACGCGCAAAGTTATTTAGAAATTTTATTTGTGTATTTTCCTAAATCGTCTTGAATTCTAACTGTATAGTTGAATGAACGGCTTAAAAAAAAAGAGATGAAAAATTCTGCAAATGTTTCACTAAAACAACGGAACAAACTCCATAATCTCACAAAATTAATTTTTGAGCTGAATGAAAGCTGTAACCTCATTGAGCTCGTTAGGTGAGTTAATAATCATAAAGCAGCCCCGAGCTCTCAACAGTAGCGTACAGATGCGTTATCGAGTTAATTAGCCTCCATTATACTTTTCAACAACAATAACTTAATTGTAAATATCGCCTTACTCGGGAGACTTCAAAGATTCGTTGGAACCCCTAAAAAGTTTTACAAATATATAAGATAATAAATATTGCCGGCAAGTGTTAGAAGTTCACCGTCGAAGTCTTTAAGGAGGAACGGGTTTCAGGATCGAGGGGCAGGGGAGATAGCGAGGGTCACGCGCCGTCTGCCCTCCACGTCAAAGCGGCGGGTACTCGGGTTTTGACTTCCAAGAGATATATCTCATTTCATATACTTATCAACGACCGTCTGCCGGTTTAAACTAACTACTCCACAAGTTTACGCAAATAATAAAAGGAATCAGCAAGGTTTTCATTGAACTCTTGCTGATCTGAGTTCCCGGGGTCAACGCTGTATATTGTAATACCAGACATTGGAAGCAAGTTTATAAGTGGGTTAAATTTCAAGTGAAACACGTCAATCAACAGCAGAACTACTGAAACTCGTCCGTGAAACTGGGATTTATTAATAGAGCCTGAAGTATAGGGGTTGTAAATGAACTATTGTTTAATTTATAGTAAGAGTTACCTGCCACTGGGAGTCGTAGGCGAAAGGTTTTGTGCCGAAAATCGTTGACAAGAAGTCCTATAAGAAAACAATAAAGAAATAGATTTTTAAATACTTAGAAAATATTTTTAAAAAGGACTACTAAAAGGACTACTAGGTAATTTATCCTGACAAAATAGGAAACAACAAATCACGTCTACGTGAATAGGATACGCGACATTTTATCACTCGCAAGTTAAGCCTTCAAGGTACATCTCGTTGACTCATCTCAAATTTTAAGACATACTTGAGAGCGAGGCAACTAGTCTGAAGTGCTCAAAAAAGGTTTCTCATATTTTTTAGTATAAAAATCTATTTTTTTATTTCACTTCGAAATTATGTAATAATAAATTTTCGATGGAGTTTCAATCTCCAAAATTAGATTTCACTCAGCAAATATATCCGGACGTAAATACGTTTGCGGTGTGAACCAATATCTTAGAGAGGGTCAGCCGCCGAGCAGCATCATTTTGACTCCTCCTCTTTAAAGAGCATGTCAATGTCCTAGCTGCTCCGTTGTTGCACTGAAAGACGTTATCGAGGATTTTGCCATATATAACAGACGTCAAGAATATATTATATATTAGCGCGAGCTACTTATACGTAAAACACATATTATTAAGACTGTAATTAAGTCGCTCTTGGTACAATATGCTATGGTTCTAATTCCTATTTTCTTTATTATTATGTCCTTGATTCTCACGCCACTCATCCGACCCAGCTGCAAAAGTACACTGACCGTATCCATAGTGATATGAAACAAGTTTAGAAGAGACTATAATAAATATTAAAAAGGACTTTTAATAGATGTTAATTAAAACAAATAAATGTAAAGCAACAAGCACGAGCATTAACATAGCAACTTTACAAGAGAACTTAACTTTACAATGGAAAATTTTCACCGAATATTCAATCATTTTTAACGCCTTGCTCTAATAGCCAGATTTGAAAAGCGATGTCCCTTAGAAATAAATATGCTGTATGGTACGGATATGATCTCAACGAAAGTTATAAAACGTAGCTGTGAATTTTATAATGCTGTTTTCTCTGAAGAAATGTAAACCTTCACTGTTAAGAGATATACAAAAAAATTGTAGAAATGAATTCAACCACATCCAACGGAGAGTGACTCGAAGCGTCAATTGCCAGGATATGTCAATTCGGCTTGGCCTATTGCAATTTTTCACCATCGTTCAATGGAACAAGATCCACATCCTCACCACTTGGGTGACTTTTCGAGGTACTTTTACTTTAGGTGGATCTTGAAAAGTGTAGAGATAATATTTTTAAACGATTAACAAGTCACTACCTCCTTTAGTCGACTTAAAAACTAAAGAATTGGGGTGCCTCAACAAAGATAAATACATGGCTTGCGGACAGTATGACGGCAGTAGTTTCTCAAAAGAGATCACGAAAAAACATTAAAAGGAATAATCGATAATATATTTACATGCTAATTGCCTAAAAACTAACCAGTAGTAAGGGACCAAACACTAACATTCAAATCGGATCTCTTGAATTAGCACAGAGTATAAAACTAGATTTTTAGGTGCCACTTTCATCAGCCATTACACGTAGAGAGCTCGTGTTAAAACATAGTGCACTTACAGTTGTACAGTTTATTATGCGTTTATGCATTTAGTAAGATGATAAAACTACCAGACGAGAAGACAGAATTAGTATGTGGAGTATATAGTATAGCATGGAATATAGTGGTGGGGGAACTCAACTACGATCAGTAAAATGTTGATATCGTAGAAGGACCGTGTCAAGAAATCAATCGACGACGTAGTGGTGTGTTACCTATTTTTAGATGTTGTTACATAATCTACATATTATAAGAAAGCTAATATAACTACTAATTTTGAAGTTAGCTAGAGAAAATCAGATATATCCGGGTCTATATTGGGGTGGCTGGGAGGGGGAGAGCGGCGTGTGTAATGAGCCGAGGACGCCGATAAGGCTCGCCGCACATCCACGAGTGAAGCTCCGACGGGGCAGCGCACACCGATAGATAACTCGTCTATTAGATGCCAGATAGCGACTTTTAGTGAGCGCTCGCTTGTCAGTACTTACCAGATAATGATGTAGTGGAAAATGAGCCGACGTGACGACGACGTGAGCTTGAGGGTAGCTGTGGGGTGACAGAATTCGCTGTAACGTTCGTTGTAAGAGTATCTCTGTCGTTGTAACATATCTAAGGAAAAACTCAATTGGTTTCCTAGTGGAGTCTGGACGTGACATGAGAGTTTTTATCTCTTTGTTCTCATTCTCTCTCTTCATACAAGCTGTTTCCGGTTAGGAGGGCCTGTTCAAGCAGCAAATTTCCATCCATGGGATTGGGGTGGGTTTGGTACATCGTCCCCGCGTAAACCTTAGTAGGGGTTTCTATAGGCACAAAAAAAAGGTTTTCTAGTGGTTTTCTATTGCTAATATACATCCATCCATCCATCCACAAAACTCATAGATGCTTTACAGTATGCTCTAAAACAGAAGTGGAGGTGGGCAGGGCACATAGCAAGACACACAGATAAAAGATGGACATTAAAGACAAATGTTTGGGAAGGACCAACAGGGAAAAGGAGAAGAGGGCGCCCCAGAAAAAGGTGGATAGACGACATAAAAGTGATAGCAGGCAGCGAATGGATGGGGAAAGCCCAGGACAGATAGGTCTGGAAAAAGCTGGAGGAGACCTATACCCGAGAAGGGGTTCCGATCAATGGTATTGAAGACAGCAAATTGATCTATAGAATTTTTATTTTTATTTTTATTTTTAAACATTACACATGAAACAAACATGAAATTTAATTAGTTTTATAATATTAATTTTAATGTGAATAAATGTGTAATAGATGATTTATGTTTGAAAATACAAGCTATATCAATGATTTTTAGATTGGAAATAAAGGACTATATTATTATTATAATTATAATATACATCCATATTAGACTGGTGTCAACCTGACCTGTGAAATATACTAATTTTTAGACCTTCACATTCCATGATACCTATATAAGTCATTTCGATATGCTACCACATAATATACCACCAGCCTCCATACTCTGTATATCAAAACGGTGATAAAAAAGGAAAGAAACATTAAAAAAATGCAAGTGTATGAATAACTTTCCACAATGTAGCCTATCTATTGATTAATGTCCTTCTGAGAATCATATACGCACTTTATGACAAAATCAATTAGATACTATTAACTGAATTTATTATTAACTAGCTGACCCGCGCAACTTCGTCTGCGTCTCTCAATAGTAATAAATTTTCTCCGTTTTTGAAACATTCTTCATTGGTGCTCCGCTCCTATTGGTCTTAGCGTGATGATATATAGCCTATAGCCTTCCTCGATAAATGGGCTATCTAACACTGAAAGAATTTTTCAAATCGGACCAGTAGTTCCTGAGATTAGCGCGTTCAAACAAACAAACAAACTCTTCAGCTTTATAATATTAGTATAGATTTTGTTTGTTTTCACACAAACTAAGTTGTCTACCGAGATGTTTGTGTCAGCATTGTATTATAGGACTGTAAACTCAGCCGTTTAAATGCGATAATACCTTCCTCGATACAAACAGACATTGGATTAGTTCGACATTAAATCCATTACTGTAATGATCTTTAGACAGTTCAGCAATAATTAACAGCTGTTCTATGATCGCTATTGGGTGTTGCCTTTAGTGGATTACCTCACCCACTCATTGTAGACGCTTAATCGCGCCCAGATTACACAAACATAGCCACGAACACATGTGTAAGAATACGGTAGACGATCGTCAATTATTATTTAGCAAATTTGTAGCAAGTAATAAGATAAGAAGTTATGTTTAAAATAGTATGTACACATTGTACACATGCGGGCATTAACGCGATCACAGGCATGCAATCGATCATAAAGCTGTTAAAAATAGTGTAGTACCTTAGTTAGTATCCATAAGGTTCAAAAGTTAGTATACCTTACTATTACAAAATGATTTACTTTGAAGAGTGTATAAACAATTGACTTTTATTTATTTCATTCATGCTTCCTGCAAATATATTGCTAAGACGTACCCTGTTCTAGACATTTTCTTCACGTCAACCTT